CCTGCCTAGGCAGGAAAGCCTACACCATTTCAGACAAATAGTTCTCCAACTTTTCTTTAAAAACCCCAGTGTTGGAGCACCCACACCTTTTGAAGGCAAGCTGTTCCACTGGTTAATTGTTCTCACTCTCAGGAAATTTCTCTTTAGTTCTAGGTTGTTTCTCTCCTTGATTAATTTATATCCATTGCTTCTTGTCCTATCTTTACGTGCTTTGGAATATAGGTTGACTTCCCCTTCTTTGTGGCAGCCCCTTAGGCATTGGATATCTTTTCTTCCACAAGGCTTCTTCACTAGATTTGGCATAATACTTTGGCATGGTACCCTTGAGAGATATACTGGCCTTCGATTGTAACTTGCTATAAGGTTTTTAGTTTAATCTGAGGCAACCCCTTAATGGAAATATCTGTTCAAATATTTCAATGGAAATATCTGTACCAGGTCAAATTCCCAAAATTTGCAAGCATCATTTTTTCTGTCAAAGGAACAGAACTTCTTTCTAGAGCCCTAGATAATATGGTGAATGTAATTGAATTGAAATGCAAATTAATTACCAAGGCTTCTTTGTAGTAGTTAATTATTTGTTGCCTTTCCTCCAGTATACCCAGTGTTTTCTTCTCAGTGAGGTAAGTTGGGCTGAATGCTTAGTCCAAAATCACCTAATTCTGAGAATGGACTTCAATTAGATTTTTTGATCACTGCGAGAGTAAGCTGCCTTCAATAATGGCCAGCATCTTGGCTGCTGTTACTCTGTCCTTTTCAGACCTTTTCTACTCAGCAAACCAACTAGTGACTATTAAATATAAACAGATAGGCAGCTGTGGGTAATAATGTTGGAGTTGGAATGAGAGAAAAGTTGGCTTATGTTTTTTTTCCTAAATAAAGCCTGAAACAGCCTAAGGCAAATAGAAAGATATGCTGTTTTCCAGCAATAGGACACACAAGTAATAGTAGTGAAGGAGAAGTATTAGAAGCTGTAGTAGAACTGGGGAAGAGTGGAGTAGTGAGCAGTAAGTACTATCCCTTGAGTGCTTGTGTGGTTGTATTGTTTCTCTTGAGTCTGGGTATACTGAAAAAAATGCATGATAAAGTGGTGGCAGAGGTGGGATATCCAACACAAGGGGGAAACCATACAAGTGGGGATGGCTTAAAGTAAAGCAGTTTTGTTCACACATACACACCATAAAAATAAAACAAGCTTTGGCTTAAAAAGGAGCTATAAAGAAGGAAGGGTCCTTTGCAGAATTCAGATTTTGCAGGAATTAACCAGCATCCTGGCTGCAGAAACCAGGTCTCTTATCAGAGCTTACACCAAACACACTGAAAAAGCAAAAAGTGACGATTCTCCCTCAGAAAAGGTTCTTACCTTGATAGAGACAGGTATCTACCCATAACATGCGGTAAAGCCAAAGCAAAGGTAGACTAGCCAGAAATGGTTCTAGGCCCAGATACTTGGGCTAATATGATTACAGAACTGATAAGGCAGAAGCTGGAAGAAAGGCTGTGGTTAATCAAAGAGGAAGAAGAGCTGCTTTGGAGGGAGAAGGAAAGGAAAGGTAGGCTGGAATAGAAAGGAGTGAAATAGAGGTAAGAAGGGGAGAGTTTAAGGGGCTGATGGACCTATTTAAAGGGATACAGTAACCAGAAGAGAGAAATTCAGTTCTAAAGTTTCCAGAACACACATTGAACTGCTTGAATTTAAGCCATCTCCCCTTGTATGGTTTCCCCTGGAGTTGTATCTCCCACTTATTTTTATGGATATCCACCAAAACATAAAAATTTCCAAGTTGTCAGAGGAATACAACATAGAAGCCTATTTCACAATGTTTCAAAGAGTAACTATCTCTTGTAAGTGGCCTGAGAGTGAATGGGTGGTCAGACTAGCCCCATGTTTAATGGGAAAGGCTTTGAGAGTTACAGTTATCTTCCAGCAAGAGAAGTAGATTACTCTCATATCAAAGAGATAATCATATACAGATGTCACTCCATCTATAGGATGAGATTTAGGAGTTACATACATACGTGAAGAGATTCATGAATAGCGGGCAAGATTGGAAGACCCAGGAACTGCACAACCATTTGTCTGAAATAGCATAGAGTTTCCTGCTTAAGCAGGGGGTTGGACTAGAAGACCTCCAAAGTCTCTTCCAGCTCTGTTGTTCTGCATTTTGAAATGGTTGAGGCCAGAGCAAAGAAAAAGTGGTAATTTCCCAGAATCCACAGCCTATCACATCCGGAAGATTATGAATATCAAAGAGTTCCAACTTGAATACAGTACTTCTGACAACATCAGAGGGGAGGGAAACTGACTTAACAGTTAAATATCCTTCAAATCGTTGAGATTGTAAGCTAATTTAACCTACAAAATACAGTAACATTGAAGGAAACTTTCCTTTTCTTTATTTCTTCCTCAATCCCTAGTGGCTGTTTACATGTCTGGAAAATTTGTCTGAAGTAGTGTAGGGTTTCCTACCTAAGCAGGGGGTTGGACTAGAAGATCTCCAAGGTCCCTTCCAACTCTGTTATTCTGTATTCTAAAATCAGTCTGAGGAAAACAGCATAGCAAAATTTTATATGCCTTGATACAAACACTACTATCATCTGTAAAATGATGATGGTTTGATCTTTTCTAGCCACAAATAGTATGCACATCTTTTGGATAATTAAATAAATAGCTCACCTTAGTATTGCCATTTGAGTCTAGTCCATCACTTCTTTTCTTTTCAAGGCATGTCACATGCTTAGTTTCAGGGCTTACATCACCACGACCTTGAAAACCTTCTTCATTATCAGTGTTGAGAGAATCCTCCACAGTGTCTGCATCACCCTCTCCTTCCTTGTTTGGGTTGGTTATTTTTGTATCACAAGCCTGAGTGTTGTTCCTATCATTATGGGTTTCTGTCTCATTTTCTCCATGGTTTGTTGTACTTTCTGAGGTTCCATCTCCCCAACCATCACTAGAACCTTCTTCATTGGGATCTCCACCATTACCACTTCCACCTTCATCAATGTATGCCCAATGAATACTTTCCCCACGGGCCTCACTTCCCATCAGTATATTTTCTGTGTTATCTCCGCGCCCATAAATTGCATATCTATCTTCATCCATGTCAATAAAGCTTTGGATGTGATTGCCGCGGAGTCCTCTACTGTCTCTAAATTCTTCTCCAGTTTGATCATTAATTTGATCTTCAGTGCCATGCTGCTTATCATTTGGATCACTCTCAAAAAGTTCTCCTGGTGCTGTGTAGTTAATATTCTCTTCCGCAATTCCATAATTGGAATCACTGAAATATTCACCTTCTAGAGTAACTTCTTTTCTTTCAGTAGCATTTGCTTCTGCAGGTATATATTCTCTGTTTTCATTTATTCTCAGATTATCTTCAGGTCTTCCACCTTCATTTTCACTGACATTAACAAAACCAGCAGTTCCATTAACTCTATCTGCATTTGTAATAGATTCTTCTGTTTTGCATTCTTCATGTCCATGGCCAATACTCCTTCCATATACACAATTAATATTTCCATTGGTATATCCTACGTTGTTGAGTAAAACTCTAAGGTCTTCTCCACCGTTGTCATGATGATCGGCATTTGATGTATCCTATAAAGGAGTGCAAGATTAAGAACAGGAGTAAAGAGAGAGAAATGAAAAGCGTGACATTTTAAAGGTGAACTTAAAGGTTGAATTTGTGTTCCATTGCTGTCTCTGGTGGTAGCATAAAAACCTAAGAAACAGGTGAAATCTAGCAGGTTCTGACAGGTTCTGGAGAACGGGTAGGGGAAATTTTGAGTAGTTCAGAGAATCGGCAAATGCCACCTCTGGCTGGCCCCAGAATAGGATGGGAATGGAGATTTTGCAGTATCATTCCCCTACCATGCCCACCAAGCCACGCCCACCAAGCCACACCACGCCCATCAAGCCATGCCAGCAGAACCGGTAGTAAAAAAAATTGAATTTCACCACTGCTGAGAAGAGTCTTGAAGAGTCAACTCAAAGCTGAGCTAACCAGGTTTCTGCTCTCAGAGTAGCAACATAGCAATATATGAGCCTCCCATACATCATTTTGTAGTTGATGCATAAAAGAGATTCAAAGCGGGATCATAAATTAAGTAGCTGAGAAATCTCAAACAAAATATATGTTTCCTGATAATAACTATCTGATTAATCTGAATAAAATAAAATACTAATAAAAATAATAAAATACTAACAAAAAAAATCACCATCCCCTCCATAGCACCTATTGTTATGTAGCAAATCAGCATTATCCATGTTCAGGAAAGAAATATTATGAAGCTTGGGAGGACCCTAATATTTGCAAACATTTGAAATATCTTTTAGAAAGGAAGGAAAAGGGGAGAGAAGGCAAAACAATTAAATGAGAAATGAACATAGCTTAGAATACTAATTAACTGTAAGAAGAAAAGACAGAAAAATGAATAGAGGGCCAATTCAATTTTTTACTACCGGTTCTGTGGGTGTGGCTTGGTGGGCATGATAGGGGAAGGATAGTGCATTCCTGGGGGAAAGATCTTGCAAAATCTCCATTCCCACCCCACTCTGGGGCCAGCCAGAGGTGGTATTTGACAGTCCTCCGAACTACTCAAAATTTCTGCTACTGATTCTCCAGAACCTGTCAGAGCCTGCTGAATTTCACCCCTGGCCTCTAGGATGAAATATTCTTAAGAGAGTGAAAGAATGATTGAAAGATTAAACATGAACATCTATCCTGAGTAGGGGTATCTGCAAGGTATGGTTGAAAAAGCAAGTTGATGGCTGCTACTGCAATTGAAGCGCTACCTTTTTCCTTTTTTAATATTTGGCTCGAAGCATTTTGTTATAGTCTTACTTACATTCTGTTGTTATCAGGTTTCTAATCTGCAAGCTATACCTCAATTCTGGCACAAGGAAGTAAGTAGAAGATTAACTACACTATCAAAACATCCAGAATCTTATATGATGCCATCAAGGTAATCAGATCATGTCTACTTACTGACCTGAACAATTAATTGTCTTTTGTCTTTGCTTGTTTTAGTCAGATTGAACAAAACTCTAACAAGTGGATGCTGGCACTATTAAATTGCATGTGGACAATTCCCCACTTATAGGTTGCATTGAGATCTGGCTGTCCTATGGATGTTTAGTTTTCCAGTGAGAAGTTTTCCAGGGCTTCACATTACCAGAAGTGTATGAAAGAAAAGTTGTTTTGCTCACTTTTTACAAATTAATACCTCACTTTTTAATAAAACCTGCTCACAAGAGGAGATATATACTGTATCTGTATGCTAAAATCAATAATAACTCAAACACAAAAGAGCTTGACTGACTGTCTTGACTGACTTAAAAAGAAGAATATTTTAAAGAAAAGCTTTGCAGGCTTCCTAAATTAAAATTAAAATTATCTGCAAGGAAGGATGATCATGAATTCCCATGGAAGGGGAGATTCTGTAATTGAAACTCGTGGCAAAAAGTCCCCCATCTCAGCTACTAAATATGTTTGTTGAAGACATAAGAAGCATTTGGCCTGAATTTTATTCCCTCTGCATGACAAAGGGAAAGTCACAAACAGGACACAAGTCTGAGATAAAGAATATTGGGGAGCAGAGACTGAAACAACAAATATAAGCAATTTACCTTTTTAAACAACAACAGATCCAAACAATTATAATTAAGATCCTAGTTTATTAATCATAGTGATTCTCTATTCTTTATTCTTTATTTTTATTTTTCAATATAATTATTACATTGCTTTTAAAGAAAAGTCTCTTTAATAATATCTTTACTAACACTTTTTAAAACACTTGTAAAGTTCATTCCCCATTGATAGGATTTCCCATCTTTCAACTGATAGGGCTCTCTTGCATGATCTGAAGGGTGACAAAGGCAGATGGGCAGAGTTCTGTTGTTAGGTTTGAGCCAAATATTGACACCTGTGTTAGAAACTAAAACGGGAGCTTAATTTGGCATGGACAGGAAAACCACTGTTCCTTAATTATTAGTTTGTCAGGAAGTACCAAGTTAAACCTGGACAGAATGTCAGAATTCAAAGGCGTGCAAGATCAAAACGACACAGTTGGTATAAAGATAGCATCACCTGTTCCTTCTATTTCTGTCATTAAGAAAAATGCCAGAAGAGTCATTGCATTATTTGCTGACCTTTCCCCACCCACCCAATCCACTTCTCTTATGCTACAGATATAGCACAGCTAAGAAGCCTTTGATTCTGAAAAGGCATAACACAATAATCAATTTCTACAGTGAATGGAGAAAATAGTATTATGGTATAGTGGTACTATGCGCCTCAAGGTTGGAAACCATTGGTGGTCCACGAAAACCTAAATCTAACCATGTCTATGTTTGTCACCAAACTGCATGAATTCTGATGACAATTATTAAATATACAGGGAGAACGAATGTTGTACCCTTAGCATTTAATTAACGTAAAGCCATTTGAAAATATGGAAATAATCATAAAACAAATACAATTTTTGTCCTTGTCCCACTCATTTTCTTGACTTGTCCTGCTTACTTTTGGACATTTCACCATTGACATACCACTCAAAGTCCAAGATTTTTGAACAAATAATTTGACCTTATCCTGGCAGCAAACTCCTGTAACATGTCATATAAGGAGGTTTACTGTCCCTCTTCCATCTTATGTATCACAATAATTCCTACTTTGTCATCAAGAAATTTTTGGTATTTGTTCCTATTCTTATGCCAGTCACCTCAGGATAAATACCTTGTAGTTTTGTTGAATTATACAAATGAATTACTGCATAAACTATCACGGGTAGCACAAAGATAGTTTCTTTCTCAAGATGAAGGAGTTATATGATGCCCAAGACTGAAAAAAATCAAAATGTCTTTCTACCCACCTATTAAATTTAAGTGACTGTCCTTTCATAAAATGACTGTCCTTTCATTATGATACTCCAAATTCAGAGAATGTTATCTCACCCTTCGTAATGGTTTTGTGAGAGAAGATATTTTGTGCTATAGAAGATATTTAGTTTAAATATAATAGAAGACATGAAGTTTAATAAATGCAGTCCAAAAACTGTTATGTCTATTAAGCTGTTCCTCCCCTACTCTTAACCATATCTCCATTGTAATGTGGCATGGCTAACTCTATTTCTTTTTAATCTGCTGAATTCTTTGATAAATTGTATTCTGGAGAAAGGCATGAAAACAAATGATTCTAAACTATATTGGAGTTCTTAGCAATGAGAAAAGCAGTATAGAAATAATGTCCAAAACCAATTAACTGTAGACATATTTTAAAGGAAATCTGATATTGTCATTGTTTAATTAAGTCACATACACATGCTGAAATTTTATAGAGATTTACTCACCACATTTTCCACAGTGCTAATAATATTCCTTTGTTCATGTTGAAGGAGCTTGTAAATCAGAAAAACAATTGAAACAGCAATTACATTTTATTGAAAATAATAATCAGTGTAGAACACCCAGAATATTTCTCCTTGATTTGTAAATGGCATTGCAGTTTATGCGATATGACATAACAATCTGGCAAAGAATGGAGAGGAAAAGCTTAAACAAAAGAGATTGTGAGCACTCCATAGAAGTAATCTATTTAATTTGTACATGCTCCAAGAAAGTTATTTGATTTGTCACTTGAATGAATTCTTTTTGCACTTTGTCATCAATTCTTTGAATATTTATTTTCCCCTCTTTCTGATATGATAATGATTAACAGAGTACCAAGTTTCAAAAAGGAGTACTCACCCAATATGAATAGGAAAGTAAATAAATAGCACACTCTTGAATAATAAATTACCAGATAATTAATTGCTTCTGAGCAGGAGTTACGGTATGTTCTCTTTGACCAGATGTGTCATGATAAAATCATTGCTTAACAATTGAGTATGGAACATTTTCATCAAGAGATTGATGTGATCCATGAGAGCATAATGGAAATTCTGGTCCACATTGTAGTTTACAGAGTTGTGTATGTGTATTGTGTACCTTTGGCATGTTACAGAATTAATTGTCAGACAACATCCTGGAGCCTCCTAAGCGTATTCATGATGGATGTCTACCTAACTATAGTTACAGCAATGGATTGTCAGGTTTTATATAAAAGTATCCAATTTGCATTTTGAGCAAAATACAAATTAGCACAACTTCTTTGGATTGGGCAGTGTCAAATTTTATTGCAAATAAATAAGTGGACAAACTGGTGTTTTAAATCTGCAATTTTCAGAATTTCACTGTGCTGTTTTCAACTTGAATAAATGCACGTACAAAAGTGCAACGTCAACAGAAAATTCACTTAAAAATGGGAGCATGCTAGGAAAAGTAGTTTTAAAAGTGATTTTTCAAAGAATTGCATTAAAACATGCAAGCATCCTATGGACTTTTTAAAAAAATGAATCCTGAGAGTGATGTAGAATTAAACCAAAATGGGAATACCTACATCCTCTGTTCTATGTAAGAACAGTTGCAGGAATTGGATATATCAAGTTTAATGAAAATAAGAATTAAGGGTGCTATGATAGCAGCGTTCCAATATCTAAAAGCTTCCCCAAGAAAGAGGGCTTAAGCACTTGAAGGCAGAAAAAGAAGCAATGGATGAAAACTAGTGAAGGATAGAACCAACCTAGAACTAAGGAAAAGTTCCCGGACAGTTAGAACAATTAATCAGTAGAATGGCTTGTCTTTGTTACTGGAGGTTTTTAAGAAGACACTGGACAGCCATTTGTCTGAAATGGTGAATTGGTTTCCTACTTAATCATGGGGTTGGACTAGAAGACCTCCAAAGTCTCTTCCAATTCTATTATTCTGTTCTGTTCTAATAATCTTGCTTTCCTGTAGAAGAATATTCACTTCCCCCCATAAACGATGCAGTTCCAAATGTAAAGGTCTGTCATTAATTCCATGAAGCCATAAAAATGACTTACCGGGAGTGCCCAAGCTGTTACAACAATACAAAGAAACACAATTGTTTTCTTCATCCTCACCGACAGGCACAGCCTGACCTTGGAAACAAACAGCAAAAAAAGAGATAATTCAATGAACATGAAATCCAAATACACTGTAGAAAGGTATACAGTAATAGTACACAGCATGTGCTGTCCTGTACTATTCAGGACACAACGGAAAATGGAACATTAAAGAAATAGTAAATGCATGTTTACTATGTGAATGCTCCACAGTTCTTCTCTGGATAAAGGCGAGATAGAAATGAAATACATAAAAATAAATAATACTCTATCCCATGCTTTCCCTTCCCCAACAGCGGACCACCAGTATTTGTTCAGAGAACATGCTTTGAATTCTGGGATTTTTGTTGGATCTCTCCTCACCAACCCTTAACCCAAGGTTTTTTTAAAAAAAAAACCAAATCTATTTTATACTTTGCAAAGTTGGGGTCCCTATAGGTTTGCTGATAACTACCCGCGTGGGAGGAGGGTCATATGGTTATGGCTACATAGTAAATATGTTTACACAGGCAAGCAACATTTGGTTCATGATGGGTACGTACTTTATATGAGTCTAATGATTCAAACTGGTTGTGGCCACCTCACACATGTGGGATTAGCATTTTTTTCTTGTTGGCTTCCACCATCTTCCCTCCCCCCTCCTCCCATTTTAAAATGCTAATATCAAAATATTCTGGTTTAGAGAACTGACTTTTACTGAGTCAAACTTCTGTTTGGTCTCTTTTTAATATATATAGGCTAACAATAGTTTGTTTTTTTAAAAAAAAAATGGTAGTGAAAGTAGATTATTAAAGGTAAAGATAAGAGACTAAATTACCAATCCAGTGTTATTCCCTCTGTAAACTGTTCAAGAGTACTGATTTACAGCATATTTTTCTGTTTTATTGGGACCTAATCATTTCCATTTTCATAATCTCAGCAACCCCTTGTCCAGCAACCCCTTCTCAATTAGTTCTGTTAACCTCAATTTCTGTCAACAGCTGCTGAAAACGCATTTGTCTTTTTTTCTATTTATAAATGTGTGATTGATCAAAATAGCCATTTTGCTCTTGCTTATACTCTAGCTGAACTAAAGCTTTAACATGAACCACAATTAATTAACTAAAACACTATATTATGTTATTGAGGTGCATTTTACGTGTTAACCTCTTTAGAAACATATTGGGTATAGAGGACAGATTGCTGTTATTATCATTGCTGCTGTTGCTATTTTCTAAACACTTTTCACTAAAAGACTTTAAATATTAATATTCTGAAGCCCTGTAAATTACTCTAAGTAAGCAGGAGGACCAACACCTTGTCACCATCTTTGATGTCATTCCATGATGTCACGTATAAAGATGTGATTGATTTAGCGATATGGAAGAACTTCATTCTCAGAAGCTCCAAAATAAACTTTTTGAGGCTCGTTTCATTGAAGATACACATTGCTTCAATTCATATCATGGATATGATGCAACTGGTATGTGCACATTAACAGTTTCTCCCTTCCAAAATAATGTATATGGCAGCTTAATTTGCTTCTTCTAATATGCTAAGTTAGCACACTTACCTACAAAATAACCTACCCTAGTACACTAACAAGCTATATACAGCCTACTGCTTTCCGTCAAGTGTGAGGTGATATTCTTCAAGTTTAATTTGAAACATTTTAGTCTTGCGATAGATACTTCACCTCTTCACTGGAAGTAGTTGGATGCCACAGCATATACAGTGAATGAAAATAGGTCAGATAGGTGAGTATCTCTTGCTTTTTCTTTCCCCCCCACAATCCTTCCCCAGACAAGGCTGGTCTGAGTTATGAATGTATTTCCAAAGCCTTGTGATATGCACATTGTAGAATTTAACAAGAGCTTTTCTTCAAAGTCATTCAAACCTTCTAACTACAACATTATTGTATATTCAGTATGACTATTCAGTATTTTCTCCTTAACATGTTGACATGCATCTCATCTCATATAACAAGTTATCTAAATTATGCTGCATCTTATATTTTAAATTGGATTCTAGTCAATGAAAGCAAATGTCCCAATAAATCTATTAACCTCTAAGATACCCTGAGTCCTCTCTGTTGTTCTAACAGAAATGAAATAGGCGAGGATCAAACTCAGTGATTCCTTACCTTGACTTCCAAGAAAGACACTACCTTTGAGATCTCAAATGATTGCGACAAGTCTGATGGAAGGTTTCCCTGTCACCTTTGAACCTTCTGAAATTTAAATGCTTGCCTGGGTCTGGTCCTAACCAATCACTGCTCTTGGGGCACTGTACAATGCAACTTTGGTGGTGAAGTACATATTAACTGCCCACGCTTCCTTAACAGGCTTTCCTAGCCCCCAAAATCAACCCGGTTCCAGTGTGACTAGACCGCTTTCTATCCACTTAATTAAAAAGCTCACATGAAATCAGTTTACACTCTCTTAAATATATAGAATCAGTTGGCTGAAGTAATGAGCTGTGCTAAACACGGTGACCTAGACATTTTTCCCCTCCATTGTGGTCATTCAGATTTATAATCAACTTTCTCCAGAGAGTAGGCTTTCTTGGTGTATCTCCTGGCTTGTTTAATTATTGAGACATTAATTAACCAAATAGCATGATAAAAATTTCTCAATTGATGTGTCATAATATATTTGTACTCTCTTTATGCAAAACAGATACAAGTGTGAGAGTGAATGGAAGTTAATAGATTATCCAGTAAACCTATTAATACGAGGAGACAGAAACTTCTCCACAGTAAATTTAATCCTATGTATATCAATGAAGTCCCAAGTCCTAATTAGTTCAGCAAGACTTACTCTCAAATAAGATTGTAGTTGAAATGTTATACCTTATAAGAATTAGATAAATCCTGTCCAAGGCTTATTCCTGTTTCACCACCCATCCCTGAAAGTTATTTGGAGAATGTTTGCAGCTATTTGAGTGTATATATTTTAAAAGTCAAGTAATCAAATTGCTCTTTTCTCTATCATGGTTAGCCAAAAAGTCCTGGACAGCTCACATGCAGAGTGTAAAGACAGTCATTCTTCCAGTGGTTTATCTCCAGTGGACATATTCCTCTGTGATGGTGAATACGTACGAGTGCTTGTTGTGGCCTGCCATCAGCTAGAGGAGCTGGCAGCTGATTCGGACAGTGAGGAGATTGGGAAGGAATATGGGCCAGTCCTGGAGTCTGGGGAAATTTCTGATGAGGGATCTGTGTCGGCGGCAGAGTGGGGGGCCAGAGCTGTATGCCAGTTATTAGCTGCCTTCAGATTCAAACATCAATGAGGCAGACTAACAGCTGCAGCCTGCTCCCAGTGTGTACATGCGCAGAGTTGCCAAATGAAGGGAACAGTTAAAGAACAGGGGTCGACTTGGGAGTAAGGCCACAGGTGGACGATGAATGGCTCCTCCCAGAGGTAATAAGAGGAGCAAAATGGGAATGGAGTTTACAGGAGACAATTAGTTCACTTAATTGGTTTGTGACTCTTCGAGACTCCTTGCCCAGTTCTGCAAATATTGGCCTAGTAGCTCTCTACGCCAGATAAGATCTGTGACTATAAATCCTCCCTTGAAAGACTTTGCTGGATGTGTATGAGCACAATATATTAATAAAAAGTTTTTTTGTCGGGACAAGGAGTTTGCTTCATGCTCTCAGGAAGCCTTGGTCAGAACAGTGCT